TACAAATACCCCGCATCTAGATATACCAAAAACACCAGTGCTCAACCAACAAATACCCCGCATCCAGATATACCAAAAACACCAGTGCTCAACCAACAAATACCCCGCATCTAGATATACCAAAAACACCAGTGCTCAACCAACAAATACCCCGCATCCAGATATACCAAAAACACCAGTGCTCAACCAACAAATACCCCGCATCCAGATATACCAAAAACACTAGTGCTCAACCAACAAATACCCCGCATCTAGATATACCAAAAACACCAGTAACGTTATTTACACATACAAAAAACAACCCTATCATGGAAGCAGTCAAAAGCACGTTTATAAATTTCATCAGAGAATACCAAAAACCCACTAAGTCGGCAAAAAAGAATTATTCGAGAAACATTTCACACCAATAATACCTTATATAATTCACTCATTCACCCGTATTTCGATACCCGTGTTGGGCAGAGCACACATAGACCATTGTGTAGCTTTGTGCTTAACTAAAAAACAAACTTTCAAGACACAATACAACAATATCCAGGGTTATCGTACTAAAAAATTTACCTAAAACCAGATCTTACAATATCATCTAGGTTAACGCACCACAAGTGTATTTAAAGGGTATGTATGTGAAATACGCATCTGATAAATTGATCTAGTGAAAAGTGATGATTTATCTATATCAACAGTTCACTGGTAAATCAACAGTTCACTGATAAATCAACAGTTCACTGATAAATCATCAGTTCACTGGTATATCAACAGTTCACTGGTAAATCAACAGTTCACTGGTAAATCAACAGTTCACTGATAAATCAACAGTTCACTGGTATATCATCAGTTCACTGATAAATCAACAGTTCACTGGTAAATCAACAATTCACTGGTAAATCAACAGTTCACTGATAAATCATCAGTTCACTGATAAATCAGTAGTTCACTGATAAATCAACAGTTCACTGATAAATCATCAGGTCACTGCAGTGAACTGTTGATTTACCAGTGAACTGATGATTTACCAGTGAACTGATGATTTATCAGTGAACTGTTGATTTATCAGTGAACTGTTGATTTATCAGTGAACTGATGATTTATCAGTGAACTGTTGATTTATCAGTGAACTGATGATTTATCAGTGAACTGTTGATTTACCAATGAACTGTTGATTTATCAGTGAACTGATGATTTACCAGTGAACTGATGGTTTACCAGTGAACTGTTGATTTATCAGTGAACTGTTGATTTACCAGTGAACTGATGATTTACCAGTGAACTGTTGATTTATCAGTGAACTGTTGATTTACCAGTGAACTGTTTGTGAAGTGTTATTACACAACAAGATGAAGAGAAATGAAGCATCGAATGCTATAGTATAACATTCATGAAAACATCGCCTTGAAGAAGGAAGTAGAATCAGCGTTTCAATTCAGTGTTTGTATCCTGATTTGGTGAAGTTTTCTTTTGGCACTTGTCAGTAAAATTAGAAACCGTAAAAGAGGAAGGAAGAGATCTAGATTGCACCAACAACACGACCAAATACCGACCCAAATAGACTGGATTGGATAAGGATCTGCACGTAATATCATTTTGAAGTAGTGCTATGTATATTTTCTGTCGTATTTCAAGAGTCACGTCAGTTAATTGTTTACTTAAAGAAATGTTTTTGAATTTTTTAATCTATAAT